GTCCATGTGAAATTTGGTTGCTATATTTCCCAAGAAAGCTCAAGTGGTGAAGCATGGGTGTTTGGAAAATTTTTCTAACACGGAAGTTTGTGGTGAATTTTGGAGATTTTGAGACATTCGAAAAAGGGAGAAAATGCATGCTGTGACGATTACTTTTGGTCAAATAGTTTCATGTGTTGTAAAATAAAGGCAAAAACATGGGATAAGGACCTGAACTTACATAAAATTCATAATTTTAGACCCAAACTTCAATTCCACTCCATAAGCTCCTAAATTATATAAAATTCTCAAATAAGGTCCCAATTGATAGAAAATTAACTTCCATCAAATGTTAACTTACTGAGAGAGTAATGGACATTAATGGAATTGTAAAACATTCTTTATGGTAAGTTAATTTTTCATCTAATTGAGACCTTATTTAAGAATTTTATGTAGTTTAGGACCTTAATTGAGTATAATTAAAGTTTAGGTCAAAAATTGTCAATTTTATGCAAGTTTAGGTCCTTATCCCACACTTTTACCTAAAATAAAATAAATATGAGCTTATATTGTTTCTTCTAGAGATTTGCTCATATCTAAAACAGTTCTATGTTGTTTAATTTAATAAATTGCATTGTCCTTTCATATGATATGATATTTGATATTTGAACAAGTCGACGTAGAAACAAGTAATGAATGAATAAATATGAAATTATTTAGATACTTTTAATAAATTATTTATATTAATTAATTAATTAATAATATTTAAATCTTACCATAGACATTCCTACACTTTTGTAAATTGACCTAAAAATGGGTCAAGCAGGTGGTTTTGGATTGGTTGATTGGGTTACTTTGGATGTTGAGTTTATTGATTTGGATCACTTTAAGTTGCGAATAAAAGAGAATAAGTTCGTAACCCACTCATAGATTTTGAATTAGATCAGACCATCTCAACTTTTTTTAAAAACTTTAAATTAAAATTTTTCAATATTTTTTCTCGTTAAAAAGGAATTTGAATATAGTATTTTGATTTTCTTAATTATGAAACTCATTCATTTTCCTTTTTTACTATGAGCATTTTCTTTGGAAATTGACATTTATTATAAATACAGTAAGATAATTATTTGAAAAAGTATTTCTACACATTTGGTTTAACACATTTTCTGACATTCATCTCAATTCAGTTATAAAAATATAATATAACTATAGCTAATTCAATTAGTCTTTCATTTTGTATATATGACTGCATCTTTAAATTTGTTGGTTTTAATTTTAAATTAGAAAATAATAATTTTTAATAAATGTATTATGTAATGTGTTGAATCAAAATGTATACCAATTATTGTCCTAATTATTTACAAAAAGATATTACAGAAAATCAGAACATCTTGCTAATAAAAATGTCAAGACATCTTGAATTTCACTTTTCACTTAATAAAATGTAAATAGGTTAATTAATTGGGATGTACACGTATTTTTGTCTATACATTAAAATTTTGCATATAATCTAACTTTATCTAGTAATTAACCAAACATAAGAGTGTTTGGTTTAGAGGTTGGAGAATAGCTATTGACTATTGGCCCTAATTGAACAATTTATATATACTAGATTATAAATTATAATGATTATCAACCATTAAATATATTTTTTAGTTAGATCAATTATTAAATATTGATTATTAACTATCAATTATATCAAAACAATTAATCTAAAACCCTTTTTAACTTAATAAAATCCTATCTATATAATCCAATCCAATCCTACACGTTGAATCATATCCTCTCCAATCTAATCCCCACCCCAAGCGCATGCCCTCTAAAAAGAGGTGATATGCATCTTGTTAAACCTGGAAAATGGGCGAGTCGAGTTGGGTTGGGTTCGAATTGGGTCAACTTGGATGATGGGTTATACGGGTTGGGTTATGAATGGGTTGCGGGTTGAAAAAATCCAACCCTAATCCGACCTTAACAGGTTACAGGTTAACCCGTGGGTTGACTTTATTTTCATTCTTTATAATTATTTTTTATTAATTTTATTATATAAAAATAAAATTATATATATCTAAATCTAATTAAAGTATTGCGATTTATTAAAACTAAGTACTTTATAATCTCAACCATAAACAATTAAATTAAGAAAAAAATCATAAAGTTATAAATAATAATAAGTTGATTAACAATAACGATATTAAACATAAAATATTTAAATTTCTTGGAAAATAAAGTTTTAATTTTATAATCATCTTGAAACATTATCAAATAGTTTAAACTATTTTTTTAATGATGAAATTGCTCTTCCAAGAACATCTTTCACTAAGTTATTATGTTTATATCCTAGCATCACATCTTTTAATATTTTAGTTGTATTATCATTTCATTCATGATACTTAGATAATTGTTAATACCAAAAAAAAAAAAATGATACTTGGATAATTAGATTAAACTCATTATAATTTCTTTGTCTTTCTCTAGAAATTAGGAAGAATGGGAAAACTTGCCTTTTTCCAAAAAAATTAGGAAGTAGAAATTAATAGGAGTTAACAATAGGAATATTAATTAAGAATAATAAGTCTAATATTTAAAAATAATAATAATAAATAAAATAAACGGGTCAACCTGCGGGTTGATCCTAATCCGATTCGTGACCCGTATGGGTTGATAATACGAGTTATTTACGGGTTGCGGGTTGAGATATGTAAACCCTAACCCATTTTTACAAGTCGGGTTAGGGTCGGGTTGACGGGTTAAGTGTATTTTTGTCAGGTCTACATCTTGTAGATATACCTTGGTAAATAATGTTATGTTGAAGTGGGATAAATTTAGAGTAATGCTTCAGGGACCAA